TATATATATATATATATGCTTATATATGTATATACATATATCAAGCAAATATAATATATGATAAATTATATCACAAAATCTAAATCATATGTATAAAAATTACCTCCATTTAGATACTGAGATGATTTAATGTTAAGCATAATAGAGGAACGATTCTTGTTTCCTTTAAAAATTACATTTAAGTGTGCTTTCAGGAACGATATCCTCCGTGCTTGCATAATAGTGGCTACCATGTAAAGAAATGTTAACAGCATGTTTCTTTTAAAAATAATTTGTTAAAAATCTTAGTATTATATGTTCCAATTAGAATTTTTGTCACAGATTTTAAATCTGAAAAATAAAAAAACATCCTATATAAAATATACAACATAAAAATATACTTAAAATATACATATATTATCTCAGATTGCTTCATGCAATAAAATATATACTTCTTGAAATAAGATCACACATATAAAGGGAAATGAGTGATCTTTAATCTAAATATAAACATCGAAATCAAGTACTCTGAAATTATGACTAAAATTACATAAGTACATGATGTTAAAAACAGGAATGCGTTTTTCAAGTGATAATACTGCAATAAAAAATATTGTGAACAACATATAATTAATTGCAAATTTTTATATACGTTTTTAGATATTTTTTTCTTACATGCAAAAATTTCACATAAATTGGAAAGTACGTAACATAGATGATAATTTTGATCAATCTTGTTTTTTAATCGTGTACATAAACGGTGTGTAAAATCACTCAGTAAATAATAAAACTAATGACATCAATGGGACGTATTATAATTGTAAATTTAAATCGGCGAATATCCATACAATAATCCTGAAACAGCTTTTTGTCCTCGATCTTACGAGGATTAAAGTAGAGCGCAGAAGTGGTATCGCACAATCGAAAATATCGATAGTTACCGTGGGCAGAGAGGAACTTGGGCATCAATTACATATTTTTCAGTGACATAGTTCACTTTTAGATTTTCACCGGTAGCCATCTCACGGTTTCACCGTTTGTCATTTTCACTGCGATCACGCAGCGAAAGAAATTATTAGTAACATAACTAGAAGTAGTGAGATCTATTTACATTAAAATATTCCAAAAACTGAAAGCACTGAAAGCAACTTCACAATTGTAAATATAACCTTAATATTTAGCAAAATAAAGAGGTACTTAGGAATAGATATCCCTATATTCCGTGCAAAGATAAACATCAACGATAATAAGGAAGACAATTACTAATTGTAAATTGAAACAATTTATTAAGAGTCGGCAGGAGAGACTATGGAGACCTCTATCGGAGATAAATTTCTTTTCACCCATATTACGGCCAAAATGCTGCGAGAAAAACTATATTATGATATTATTAATCAGAATATTTGCCTGACGAAAGCTACAGAACAATTTTTGTAAGAAAATGTGTGAAAATAAATAATTCATTTATGTGTAAATAAATTTGCACTATAGGACAATAAGGTGCAAATATTTTCATCTATTGTAAATTTTTTTTAAGAGCCAAATTGCAAAACCGATTCTGTAGCAAGAGATAATTTTATAAAAAATACATAGAAAAAGACTCAGGAGAATATTGCTTCTACGAGATAGTATATGGGTGTACTCAAATATATATCTGCATTGTAAATAAGAAGTAGATAATTATATTTATTTTAATTATTTAAGAGCTAAATTGCAAAATTGGCTCTGTAGGTAGCTTCGTAATTGTAAAAGAAATTATTTTAACAAAGTTTCATGACGAAACATCATTTCTATTATATCTTAAGACAAAATATAATTGATATATAATTGATATATAAATATAATTGAAATATAATTGATATATAATTGAGTACAGATACATCTGTAGTGTAAATAAGGAGTAGATAATCATTTTAGATCAAGTCGGAGTTAGCCCGTCACTCCTGCCGATGGCTCCTTTTAAGGCTCCTGACTAGTCACCGTGGCCATATTGGAATCGTGACGTCATAGAGAAATGATACAATAAAGTTTATGACGGTAGTTTTGCAAATTAAAATAACACCTGATATGGCTTTAAGACACTTGTGAAAATGGCTGCTATTCTTTCCATTTCTGATAGTTAATAAATAGCTGTAAAAGGCACGTGAAATGAAACTTGTTCGGGCAGGAAACACACGATTTGACAGCTGTTGAAAGAAGTGAAAAAAATGCTTTCACATATAATGTCCGGCGATAATTTTAACTATCGCCCATTTTTATGACTCTGATAAGTCATATCTGCATAATTAAGCACACAATAACGAAAATAGTCATTATAAAAAATTTTATTGTCCGCATGTCACTTGTATAAAGATGAACAAGGACAAGGATAAGATGAACAAGGATGTACGAGCTTTTATTTTTCATCGCAATGATACATCGCTACTGTCAACGCGGAATTCTTCGCTGAGTAGTCAGGAGCCTTAATTTATTTGAAATATATAAACTTTCATTTAAAAAATTTCTCTATTTCAGTGTCTGTATTTCAAACAAACAGGAGCATAAGAGGTAAGCCAGTTTTGAGAGTTAAATCCGCTTGAAGACGTCCAAAGTGATGAGTTACAATTTATCGAAGAGTATGAATTATTAAATAGTCTGCATTTAACGAAAGAGTCTACACATCAAATTTTGCAGGAAAAAACGTTTTTTAAAAACTACAAATTCTAATCATAAAAATTACAAATCACAACAATTCAAGTAATGAAGCTGATAAGAGAATATAAATGACGGAAATGGTAAGTATTTTAAATGTGATATTAGCATAGACATAACATAGACATATAATATAGACCCCGCAAACCATATACTCTTCTATACCACCAGTTGAATTTGGCAGGACGGTGAGAGAGGCAAAATATCGGGGAATATCTGTCCTTTACTGCGCGCGCATTATTGACAAATAAAAATGGCCTATTCGAGAATCATCTGATATCTGTAGTAATATACTTGGATTTAAAATGAAATAATATATTTTTAAGTTTATTGAATACGAGAAAGAAAATTTTAATAGAGTAAAGTTATAAAGAACAATATAACTGTCTATCACGACTGTCATATAACCTGTCAATAGATCATCGCGCATCTTATCTGCGCAGAGAGAGAAAGAGAGATCTTCCCCTATATTTTACCTCTTGTACCGTTCTGCCAAGGATTGATATATATAGCTAATGTTGAGTCTATTATATATGTTATGGATATTAGATAAGTTTTCTGAAAATGTTATAGTTGACTAAATGACATTTATTTATGGCAAGTTTAATAAATAATAAAAAATATAATTTTTGTTCCCTTTCTGATTCACTTTATTTTTTAAATATTACGTCTTCTCAGTTTACATCTTGACAATAATATGTTATACTAGCAATTTATCTTCGTAAAAATTTGAATATTTATCTACAACGGAATATATAGTCATTAAAAATTAAAATTAAAATCTTCTATCGCCAGATTTAAAACCCCAAAAACTGCGGCCATTTTATCAATTAATATGCCGTGTAGGTTAAGAAACACTAGATTTTCATCGTTTAATTATGTCAACTGATGGTAAAAAGTTTCACGCTAAATATCTCACGCTTTCACCGGAATTAAAATTACGTGATCACAAAATGATGAAATCCACATGAAACTCATCACTTTTCACTGATTCGTTCTAGGGGAAAATGTGATCGATGCTCTGAAAGCGGCTACGCCGACCTTTTTCTTGATATGGTCGGACTCGCTGTACACTACCGCTATCAACGTGTATAATTGAGCTGTGGAACTACAAGTCACATCTATTTTGCGACACTGTCGATAAAATCATGTCTCATGAATGTGGTGCGAGTCT